TCTCACAGGTGCAGCCTAGTTTCACTAAAGTTACCTTAATCACCAGACCAAAAATGTTATTTTAAATTTTTCTTCATTTCAGGGGATATGAACACTGAACTAGCTGTAACAAACTTCTAACATTTTCAAAAGTCTAAGTTGATTTTTAGTTAAAAAAAAAAAAAACACAACGCAATAAAACTCTTAACAGAGGCTTAAAAAGGTCTTTATAAAATAATCTCCATCACACTTACAATAGTAAGAAAATTATTCTGGCTGCTATTTTTTAGTAAATATGAACTTGTTTGTGTAATCTGTATTAAAGATAGTTCTAGCTACAGTCCACATTATCTTTAAAAGGTGGACCAAACGTGTGAAGAGAAGCAGATCACTGCTGTTTCTCAACAAGTCCTTTTTAATGAGGACATGCTGCCCTGAGAGGCAAAGCATGTCTGACAGGAGAGCTGAGGGAGAGGAGTAATGACTTGCATGCCAAAAAAAACTGCTTCGGCGATCACTTTATACTTGGCAACTGTACAATTCAGCTGATTGGAGATCAAAATTGTGCCATTCCATCCATCCCTTGAATGGCAGCACTGATCATCTCAACATTTAAGTTGGCTTGAAGCGACACAAGAAGGTAGAATCTGAGCAAGTTCTGGGCTGGCAGAAGAAAAGTCTGATGCTTGTCCTGTCATCTCTAACCATGAAAATACTGGGTGTTCTTCTGAGCGTGTTCCACCAGGTCCATCAGAGCAACAGGGCTGGCTGTGCAGAGAGAACAGAACAGGTACACGTGGGACAAATGAAATCTGGCAAGTCCTCTATTCCTGCAACATTACCAATAAATTTAAATATGCCAACATTCCATTTCAGGAGGACTCAAAGATCTAAAACTCCACATATATTTGGATCAGTTTTCAATGCAATAAGGTTTGATTTATACCTTTTGTGGACACAAACTGGTTGTTACATTTACAAAGACAAAGAGGTCACAATAACTGCTCATAGGATGCCATTCACTATACATATTAATTAGCTACATTCTTTAACTTACAGTAATAAATCATCCTACTCTAAACAAAGACAAAAATAAAGATGTGATAGTTTATAGACCCAAGCTTTTATCTGCTGGTGTACTCTACTCTTATCATGGCCCTTTAAAAAGAGCTGCAAAAATAAGAATAATAGATGTCTGGGGCCAGACTCTTTTCAGTGGTGCCCAGTGACAGGACAAGGGGCAACAGGCACAAACTGGAACCCAGGAAGTTCCACCTCAACCTAAGGAAAAACTTTTCTGTGAGGGTATCAGAGCCTGGACCAGGCTGCCCAGAGACATTGTGGAGTCTCCTGCTCTAGACACTTCCAAAGCCTGACTGGACATGATCCTGGGAAACCTGCTCTGGGTGACCCTGCCTTAGCAGGGGGTTTGGATGAGATGATCTCCAGAGATCCCTTCCAACCCCACCATGCTGGGTTTATGTGATATAAAGAGTGTACAGTGACTTACACAAATCTAATGCAGTGAAAGATAGTCCTGTGAATCTAATAAGAATGAGGTGCTGGTGAGCACTTCATGTAGAGGTGCTACAATTTTCATCTGCAAGAGTCACTTAAAAACATCTTAGTTTCCTTTCAACCAAGTTACCAAAATAGATACAAGAAATGGAATTTCCAATTTATGTATTAAAGTTGTCCCAAGGACTTCTTTACATTGTTTACATGCAGTGACAGATAGTCCTCTGAATCTAATAAGAAGAATGAGGTGCTAGTGAGCACTTCATTTAGAGGTGCTACAATTTTCATCTGCAAGAGTCACTTAAAAACATCTTAGTTTCCTTTCAACCAAGTTACCAAAATAGATACAAGAAATGGAATTTCCAATTTATGTATTAAAGTTGTCCCAAGGACTTCTTTACATTGTTTACATGAAACTCTGTATTACTGTTTTACGAAGAAGAGCTTCAAGATAATTGAGAATTACATCAAGTCACTCATACAAAATAAAAGCAGAAATCAAGAGGCTTTAATACCAATTTGTGCCCTTTTACCAGTAAGTAGAACCAAACAGGTATTAGTATCACCAATCTTAAGTGCAACGAATTCTTCTCATATGTAATGTTATGTGAGATAGTTAATGCCACTGACCTGACTTAATTAAGAGTAAGTTACCAGGAGATGTCAAGAAAAACCTCCCTCCCATGACAGGGCACTGCACAAACATGCTACACAGCAGATGCTGTGTATCAGTGACCCCCTTCTTTGCTTTTCAAATTCATCCTACATAGGATGTAGAACAGTGGCCACCTCAGTCCCTCTTTTAAGAACACTGCTTGACCAACTCCTTCCATCTCTCCCAAAGAAAATAGTCACATAATTCAAATCAGAGCTAAAACTGAACACCCAGCTCCTCCCTTAGCTTGCCTCAGCTAAATTTTTATCTGTTCCTAAATTACCACAGTCCCTAAGAAGTTAATGGGATGTGCACTGGCCAACAGCACCATAAAGATCAAAATTCCTGAGAAGAGGCATGCAAGCTAGTAGATCATGTCTCCTTCCTTCTGGTAACAGCAGGCACCATGAAATTAAACTGGACAGTACTCAAATCATTTAACATGGAGAGTATGAAGAGGGAGCCCAGAGCTACCTTCAGCATTTACTCTGTCCCTTGAGCAGCCCACAAAAGGAGAGAGGCTGTTTCTTCAGATAAGATGCTTCTAGATAGAATCATAGAATCATTAAGGTTGGAAAAGACCTCTGAGATCATCAAGCCCACCTGTCAACCCAACACTACCACAACTGCTAAACCATGTCACAAGGTGCTGTATCTACACATTTTTTTCAACACCTCCAGGGATGGTGACTCCACCACCTCCCTGGGCAGCCTGGTCCAGTGCCTCACCACTCTGTCAGGAAAGAAATTCTTCCTAGTATCCAATCCAAACCTCCCCTGGTGAAGCTTAAGCCCATTTCCTCTTGTCCTATCGCTAGTTGCCTGGGAGAAGAGCCCAACCCCCACCTAAACTCAACCTCCTTTCAGGGAGCTGTAGAGAGCAAGGTCATCTGCCCTCAGCCTCCTCTTCTCCAGACTAAACAATCCCAGTTTCCTCAGAAGACATGTTCCCACAACCCTTCACCAGCTTCATTGCCTTTCTCTAGACCTGCTCCAGCCCCTCAATGTCTTATCCTGTGGCACACAAAACTGACACCAGTCCTCAGGCTTTGGCCTCACCAGTGCCAAGTAAAAGGGGACCAGCATCTCCCTACTGCTGCTGGACACACTATAGATCAGTAAATGGATGTCACAGGCAGTGCTGGATGATCCATTACCTTCACACTGCCACCCTTCACATCTGAAGGTCTTAAAAGGAAAAAAAAAAGGAAAAGAGAGAACCCACACACCAGCTCTAGCTAACTACCACCTGTCACTGGGGGAGAAGTTCCCTTTTCCCTCCTGTCACACATATGCAATGGTATTTCACAGAGCACACGCAGACATTCCTTTTCATAAAAAAGATCCTGGTGTTGTAGTATGCAGCATTCCCAAGATAGCACTTGTCCTTAAATGCACCCCAGTGGTCCCAAGCTACCCTCTCATTTAAGCCTCTGAGATCTGACTCCCCATCTCAAATGCTGTTCAGTCAAACAAGTGCTGAGAGAAGTTCTGAGCAACTCCTAAAGGTATTACAACCAGATGGACCTCCCTGACTGTGCTTTGGTGCATGACATCCTGCTGCACCACCCCCCAGCTGTGTAGTTCTCAATGAAAAATACAGTTATCCCAGTGTCTGCTGAGGCACAGCAACAAACCCACTGCTAGCTTCACATCCCATTCCCACCTTCCCTCCCCCACCAGTGAGACTGAAAGTTATTTCTGCAGCAGTAAGCTTCATATGATTTCACCTTAAGTGGTCATAAAGAAAAAAAAAAAGCAGAGAAAAAAAATTCTGCAACTATGACTTGAGACTGTGTCAGCCACTGTGATAACTGACTGACCACTGTCAGAGGTGTGCACCCAAACACTGCCTTTTCCCTAGTATTTAGCCATGCTTTAACAAAAAATGCATTTGATTGGCTTACATTATTTCAATTAAAAAAAAAACACAGATGTTATCAGCAGACCATCAGAAGCATTCTGTTACAAAACAATACTAACTGTATGGGAGCAGTTAAAGACATCTAGAATACTCCTCTGAAATGTCAAGTATTTACCTTCATACTGGGTATTTATGTACCTTGACATTATCTGTTCTTCTGAAAAATGGAGAAATACATCAGAAACTATCTTGTATAATTCCACAAAGGCAAGGTGCTCATTTCTCCCTCCTCACTCCTCTAAAGAGAATATAATCTTTTCTACAACATCCAGTGATACAAACTGATACCATACAGGTCCTCAGTTAGAAAACATATCTTAAAATAAAAATACCTGTGAGTATACTTCAGATCAATTATATTGTGTATTTAACTTCTTTTCAAAGTGAGCCAATTTCCACGCTATATTGTTTCCCTTGCTGTACCGAAATTCTAAAGCTATAAAAAGATAAAATACTGGCATATCCAGAGGTCTCCTTCAGTAATTTACCAGTATCAACATTTAACACCTTCTTAGGAGACAAGCAACTTCTTCCCTGGCATAACTGTGCACAACTGATTTCACCATATCCAGTATCACCAAGTTTTCCTATAATTGAACATCCCCTGAACAACTGAATTAGAGGACAAACAGGATAATGGGAGATCATATTTTTTGACATATTTGTACTGGCAATTATTAACCCATACCAAAAGCTCTAACCTCAGATACCTTTTGGGAATGAAAGGGGGAAGATCTTGAAGGCTTCCCCTGCATTTAAGTCTAGAAATTATTTCTGCAATCAAAGTGACATTCTGTGGCCATCTGCTTTGTAATTTAAACTTCAGAGGAAAAGGGGAAGGTGAAGACATCTAAGCTGCAGCTGACTTTATTATGAGCACACAAAATACATTAAAACAAACTTACAAATTCAGGTTTCTATACATCAATGCTGTGGCTGCTCGGGATTGATATTCATGGTCTTGTATATTTCCTTGAGAAAGAGCAAGGCAGTGTCTTCAGATCCCCTACAAGCAAAAAACAAAACAAAAGCATTATTTTACTATGGTCCATGTTCTGACTCTTGTAAGCCACACTTCATCCCATTCCAGCTCTCTAAAAAGTTTGCACGACCTATTGCTCTAGTACATCTTTGGGAAATGTGGCCTTACCTGACCACTAAAAAGGAAGTTCTCAAATCATTGAAAGACCAATATAATTTGAGTGCCATGTTTCCAAGTTGAACATTTTCCCTCCTCTTCAAAATCAAAGCTTCAAGCTATCTAAATTTAAACTTAACATGGACAGACTTAATTTTCTTATTCATCTATAAAATGTTAAACTATACCAGTAGAAAAGAGTAACAACCATCTAAAAAATACCAAAGTTAACTAGGTAAATTTTAACAGTTCCAGAGCTGCAGAAGTTGTAGTTAGGTAAGTGTAGCTTCCAGTGCCTTTTAGATGAAAAGGCACTGGGAAACAGGAAAGGAGATTTAGATATTCACAGCTGTGAACCTCCAGCTGTGAAGAACATCACTTACAGAACATCAGTAGAGAGGGAAACATGCAAGCTAAGGGACTACAGATATTTTCCACAACTGGGAATAGAGATAGCAATCACATTTCTTGGTCTTTGCTATTAAACAAGCAAGCAAGCAAGGAGAAGGATTACCATGGAAGCTCTGTTCCCCCTAACACACAGAGCATTTCACTTCAGGCTTTTCCCACCACCTCCCTCAAAGATACAAACCAAAACACCACAACCACACTTCCAGATATGGGTCATTAATCATCACACTTATCTTCCTTACTTAGATGATGACAAACCCCAAACCAAAAACTATGAGCTGCAAGTTTAAGAACCTGGCAATGATCGGCTGCCACCTTCTGGAAAAGGACTCCTGGTTCCTTCAGCTCTGCCTGCAAAACGGCACTGCCACCACTAGGCCACGGAGGAGACCTGCCAGAGCTCAGTGCTCCACAGTGCTGTCAAGCACCAGCACTGCAGCCCCGAGAACCCTTCTCTGGCAGCTGCTGATCCTTCACAACCCAACTGATACTGTCTTTAGTAAGATACTTCAGGGAACACTTTCAAATCCACATTTCAAACACCTAAAAAAAACCACCTGCTTCTTAAAATTATTAGCTACAGAAAATCAAAACCTTCAAGCACAGTGTAGAGCACTGCTTGTCCTGCACCTGCTAAACTCAAAACAAGAGACCTGTCACTCTCTCCTCACCAGCAGCATTTTGCACAGCTCAGCAACCTACACCCAAGCTTGGCTATTACACACCAAGGTGTGTTGTCGTGTTGCCAAATACAGTTTACACATCTTTTGATCTACCATTCTATATCTTTTGTGTTTTCGTGTGTGCTTAATTTTATGGTTAGTAAAATGTATACAATGACATATCAAAAAAAAAAGAGCACCTCATATACAACTCAAATACAACAGGGCAATAGTTACATAATTCCTTTCATAGGAATAGCAGTATCTTTCTCCATTTGAAACAAACACCTGAACACAAAATTAAATCCAAATCCAGATTTGGATTTTACAGAGCACAGCTCTGACTGCATGATGATGCTTAACTCTGGTTTTGCTCTGAACATTGTTCTGTATACAAGCAACCACTGTAAACAAGTAGTAAATCAAAACCATAGAGATTTACAGAAGTTCCACTGTGCCTTTTTTTCTTCTTTTCTGTTAATCTTTGACAGCAGAGCATCAACATCTAGCAATTTCATTTCAAAAAGAGGTAATGAAGTTTTACTACACACTGCAGTGTAACACAATTAATTAATAAACATATTTGGAAAACTACAGCTGTCAAAACTCTCCTTGTTTGGTAAGTGACTGTAGGTAAAGGTGGGTGTTTTGAGTGTCAAAGTTCAAGAGAGCAGTATGCAAAGTCTTTACTGCAAACAGGACAAAAGATTTGCTTGCTTTGTGCTAACACAGGATTTTGTTTTGAAATGAGATTAGCTAACAGTGACATCTAGGTGTGACTCCTTGAGACTGACACTCCTGGACAGTCATTTATTTACCTTAATACTTCAATCACCTTAATTAAGTAACACTTGAGCATCCAGAGAATAACAAATTTATCTCTACACAATGCCTGCATGGGAAGGCAATGTCTTTCCAAATGAGAGGCCATCTCAGAATTCAGTGGTGAGGACCTTGTATCCAGTCTTGTATCTCTGCAGTCGCCTTTCCCAAACATTTCAAAGACTACAAAACCCAGAAAATTCAGGTCTCCTGAGTTGTATGCATACACATGGACCACTGGAACAGCTCCTGTTTTGGTAGCTTTATAATTGGTTGGTCCTTTTGCAACATTTAACTTCTCACATCAGCTGTAGCCTGAAAAATAGATCTCTGTAGATGGACAGTTATTTTGGTCAAAACATACTTCAAATGAAACACTGGGGCATGGTTTTTGATGGAGATCAGCTGAGGTTTCATTATAAAAAAAGACAGAAAATGATTCCAGCTACTACCACATTGGTCACAGGTAGATAACAGACAGTAACAGTAAGATACACAGTAGGGACACCATTACTGACATTTAAAGCTATACAGTTATACCAGAAAAGTAGTATTTACAGAATGAAAAATATCTCCTCTTACCAGTAGCACAAATGACTCTGTAAAGCAAAAAGGTATTCATTGAAGCTTTCTATTGGTTTTTCTTGTAGAACATAATCAATACGACGTCCTCCATTTAGCATTCCAACCTTCACTGAAAAATCTTCATCTTTTGGAGGGTCTGGACTTTCAGTGATCTTTTCAGCTAAAATTAAAGAGTTAAAGATTTAAGCTACTTTTAAGTACAGCCTGCTTGATTATAATCAAGACCTATCACCCATTTTCCCTGCTATAAGCTCCACGTGCTTGCAAGAGGACAATAATAACATCCCCAACTGACTAGCATCATTCAGTTTGCTAGCACAGTTCAGATTACTGGAACTAGAGGCTTGTTTCCTTCACAACAGCTTCAACAGAGTTTATTTGAGAATAACTCACAAAGTAATAGCTGAGCAATTTCAAAAACAAACCCTGCTGTTTACAGAGACAGATCAAATCCTTCCACAAGCAAATTACCTGAAATAACAGATTTTTTACATCCCACTTGCATAGAGTCTATCACTATCCTCAATTTAATTCTAGGAGCAATATTTTGTCTTCCTAAGTATAGACAAAGCCAGCACTACTAAACACTGACAGGTAACTTCCAGCTGGGAAGCCTGCCATTGGTATCATTAGGGGTAATATTTACATCTGACTTAAGCTTATTTTTTTTCTGTTAGAGCACATACTTAAATGCTTCTTGGCTCATCCCAAAAACCCAGCAGAACTCTACTAAGAGAATAAGTCTCAAATACTTATTTGTATTACAGCAGATGTAGAAACCTGCCCTTCCAACATTGAACATTGAAAAATTACACAAACTCAGGCCTAGAATACCCTTCAGTAAAAGCTGTCAACTTTTCCTTTCCTAGAAGGCATAAAAATGCAGCAGTAGGTCTTATATTTAACATTAATTCACCTGTATTGGGTTCATGGGGCAAGGTTTTGGTGGGAGGTGGGCAACAGGGGTGGCCTCCACGAGAAGTTGCTAGAAGCTTCCCCCAGGCCCAACAGAGCCAATGCCAGCTGGCTACAAGATGGACCCACCACTGGCCAAGGCCATCAGCCACAGTGGTAGCACCTCTGGGAGAATATATTTAACAAGGGGAAAAAGTTGCTGCACAACAACCACCACAGCTGAAGAGAGAAGCAAGAATATGTGAGAGGGACAACTCTGCAGACACCCAGGTCAGCCAAGGAGGGGGAGAAGGTGCTCCAGGTGCCACAGCAGCTATCCACCTGCAGCCAGAGGAGGACCCCACACTGGAGCATGTGGATGTACCCAAAAGGAGGCTGTGACCCCATAGGAAGCCTGTGATGTAGCAGGCTTCTGGCAAGACCTGTGGCCCCATGGAGAAAAAAGCACACACTGGAGCAGGTTTGCTGGCAGGACTTGTGACCCCAGTGAGGACCCACACTGGATCAGTCTGTTCCTGGAAGACCACACTCCATGGAAGGGACCCACACTGGAGCACTCGGGCCCATGC